CATGTGTGGACAACCCAGCCTTGGAACAACACAGTATGTGCATCGATGGCTCAACTTCATGCAAACTGATGAACTAAAGAATACCTCTCATTATAATCTTTGAACACAGATGTAAATGTAAGCTTTCAGAACCATCCTTTCCATATTGCCAGAGGGAGGACACAGATGTTATGGACGATGCACTCCAGAAGTATCTGTTGTTGGTTATACGACAAAAATGAGGACACACTAAAAATCTAGCACCAAATCATTTGATATATAGAATGCTGTCTGCAGTTTTAGGACACCCATGGTTTTCCAGCTATGAACCTGTCGATCCTGTAGTGACGTCTGATGTGGCCCGTGAGGTTTTTCCTGTACCATGTGAGTGACTTTTCATGCAAAGCCTGCAGCCAGCTCCAGCAGCGCAATCTGCTAACGGAGACTAACTGAGACCATTTAGGAGTGGTTTAGCCTGGAGATAAGCTCTCCGGAGTAACTGACTGAAGGGGGAAATGCCAAGTCTCTGGAGTTACTAAATGAATGGCCTGTGAAAAGAGCACATGTCTGGGGGTGCATGGTCAGCACTCGCCTCCCTCACCCGCAGCCCCTTTATCAAGCGCAGGTGAAGATCAGACATCCACATCTGGTCATCCCATCCACCCTCTCTTCCCCTATCCAGCCCCTGCTCCCTGTCCCCACTGATGGGCCCAACTACTGAGTCCTTCTCTCAAAAATTTAAGAGGCATGGGTGGTGGTCATCAGGGGCTTCCTGAGCTAAACCATCACGTAGAAGCAAGAGCAGAACAAAAGTCACTCTGAGCCAAAGTTACTGGCCCGTAGGGGCTGTCAGTGAAGGGAAGAGGCTGGTCTGCAAAGGAGGGAGCAGAAGCACCAGGAGATGCAGAGCCAGGCGACAATGGGGGGACAGAGAGCAGAGAGGACCCCAGGGGAACCACTCACGACCCCGAGAGAGGGTGACTGACTACCGACCTTGGGTCCCAGCTTTCTCATCCCCACATCAATGAGGCCCCGCTCGTCTTCATTTCCTACCTGTGGGTGCTCCGCGAGACTCCCCATTACAGCCTCACGACAACTAGCCCCTTGTCATTCGAGTGGCTTGGAGTCTTGCACCCACAGAATCTACAAAGGAGGGACACTTTCCCTGCCGAGGCTATTCGGCCTCCTGAGACTTTTGCTGAGTCCTGCGTCTGTTCCTTCCTTTCCCTTCCACCCTGTTCGTCCCCCAGGAGGTAGTGGTGGGGACGAAGCCACCGAAACAGCCTCTTCGGCTGCCCAGCCTGAGAAGTTGGTGCCCCTCTTTTCCACAATAGAACCTTCCCAAACCAGCCTCGCCCAGGTCCTCTCGCTGGAAAAACCTTCTCTACTTCCCATTCCCGTCTTCTCCCAGTGTTCTGAAATACTCAGCATTTCCACAACTGCCTTGGCATAGAAGTACTAGGTTTCATCCAATTTATTTAAAAAAAAATGTGTTGAGTGTTTAATAAATGCAAAATTCCTTAATAGGAGTTAGCAAAACCAGGGATAAATTCGAATGGTATCAGCTTTCAGGAAGCGGACAATCCTGGGGACCAGGAGACAGTGCTGGTAGAACACCCGGGAGCGAATCATTCCCCCAGAAGACAGACTAATAGGAGGGGCTGCTGGTGGGAGCTAGGGAGGAGGGGCTAGGGAGGAGGGCTCTGGGTGGTCCCAGGCAGGGCTTGGTGCACAGAGAGCACATAGCAGTGTGCCCAGGAGACGGCACAGGACTCGGGCTTGGAGGCAGAGGCCTGTGGGGCCCATCCCGAGCTGGGGGTTGACATCGCAGGCAAAGTCGAGTCAAGGCTCCATATTTGAGGGTTGTTTTCTTTCTTAATTTAACTGGATCTAACCAGCCCTTACATAAGAAACGCTGTCAGAAGCCGAGGTTAATTCTTGAAGGAAAGACCGAAGTGCATCATTCTCACCAGACTACCTTGACGTTCAGGGCATGCCCCCAGCGTGGGACGATACGGCCCTTACAACACACACGGAGCGGCAGCATTGCGCACGCGCGTCTCATCTAGGTACGGCAGGATGCATTCCTCATGCAGCGCCCCAGACAGGAAAGGGACGCAGCTGTGCTCTGAGAGCCACTGCACATCCGCGCATGCCAGGAGGAGGGCAGAGGACAAGGAAGTGAGAGACGACAGTCCCCCACACGGCAGCAGAGAATCCCACGCCCCTTTCAAACGGGGATAGGACTCACGTGGGGACAGCCGGCCACCAGCCTGCCTGGCAGCCCCAGCCTGAGGCCCGAGCCAGGCATCCCTCCACTGTGGCCCCGAGTGAGTGGCCCTTACGACATGCTCTGGGCTTCATGTCCTTTGGCTATAAGGACACCGCTAACCTGCCATCCTATCAGAATAAGACAAACCCGCCTTCTTTGGGCCCTTGTGGCCTTCCCAACCACTCTGACCACCATCTTCTCTGGGGAGGCCATGGGCACTGAGGACGGGCCTGCGGTGTGGGGACACACTCTAGGGCAAACCTCACCCCACCCAAGACACTGCCAGAAGAGGAGGCCCTCCTGAGCCTGCCTGGTCTGCTGGCTTGGAGTTGGGGGCCCCACCTGCCCCTCCAGACCCAGAGACCAGCCCCGAGGTGTTACTGTGTAGGAGAGGCAGGAAGCAAGACCTAGCAGACCGAAGGCTGGGACTTGGCAGAGAACCACTGATTCATCCCGATTCAGAATTCACGTAAGCCAAAGTACTGTTGGGTTTTCTTTTTCTTCAATTTCCAGGCTTTAACTCCTAGCACCTATTTATTTCCTCTCGAAACGCTTTTTTTTTCCTGAAAAGAAATTCTCCTCCCTACCTTTTTGTTCACTTTTCTGTTTGCCTCCTGTTTCCAGTTCTCTATAAGCTACTAAAGAAAGAAAACATCTTTTCAATTCAACCCAGGAAGGCTTGCAGTTGGTCTCTGAGGCTCTGGGCACTGGCATGGAGTTTTGCAAACATGTATGCATATTCTTTTTACTCCCGAAGGCAACCTTCCATCCAGAAGCTACCCTACATCTCATAAGTTAATCAGCCAACCTCAGAAATGGGGTGGGGGTGGGGGGAATGGCTAGATCTGTCGAGAACTCTGTCATCTGTATGGAAGACATCCCAGTGCTACCCAAAGCTACTTACCTGAGCACTTTACTCATGACAGAAAGAAAGACTGCCTACAGATCCGATTATGCCTACCTACTAAGAGGCTGGGCTGTGAGTGCTTGTTGTCCTCAACAACCTGTTAGCACTAAGGGACTAGAACATTCTGAGCAGGTTGTAGATGAGGCTGGGAGCCACGCGGCCCACCCAGAATTCTAGAGGGGATTTTACTGCCCCCTACTCAGATCTGTGAGACTGAGGGAGACCCCACGCAGCCTACAAGGCCCATCTGCAGGGATTCCATGCCACAAATTGAGTCTCCTGCTCCTCAACAGTTGTTACAAGGGTGGAAGAAAGAACTGAATCCATGAGCACAGGTTAAACACACTATGTATCCAACACTGTAACAAGCAAATACACAGGAGGGAACAGACAAGGTGGAGAGCCTCAGTGCCCTAAAATCCGAGACCGAAGGTACAGACACTTACCACAAAAGCTAGAAGCAACAGAAGGCAGGACAGAATCGAGCACAAGTTTTCATAGTGTGATTAGGGCTGCCCTAACTCCGCCGACTCATGCGTAAGAGGCCTCTCCTAAAATCCAGGGTGGCCAGGTATTTCAGGGCACATGGCTGAAAAGAGACTGACGCCCAAGAAAGTAGTGGACACAAGTGTGAGTCTGAAGGGCAAGGTTTAAAAAGCAGCTTTAAGTCTCTTTCCATTCCGGGTTCCCTCCTGACCCTGCCACATCCGTGGTCAGAGAAATGGAGCTCCCGGGGCAGCATCAGCTGGCTCGTACCACCTCGGGCACCAGAAGGGCAATCGATTGCCTTCGCTTTCACTCGATAACCAAGGTGCTGAATGCTGTACATTTTAAGAATAAAATCCCTCCCGTTTTCACCTGAAAGCTGCCAAGCAACAAGGAAGATCCTCTCCGTGAAAAGGTGACTTTGAACCATGGGAGGCGGGTTCATTCCCCTGAGACTGAATTCACTCTTTTTGTTTGCTTGGTTTTCTGTTTGTTTGCCTTGAAGACAGGCTTCTGCTTCCATTTGTGTGGGTCCATTTCTTGTCGGTTACGCACAATTACATAACACGCTCTCCACCGGCAGAGCCCTCCTCCCCCAGGCTGAGCCTGGTCCCAACGCAGTGCTGAAGACAAACACACTTTTATGAAGTGATGACACGGGTTTCCTCTCGCCTCAAACTGTGTGCATGGGGGTCGCAGGGCTCCTCTCCCATGCTGGCTCTGTGGCAAGCTGCCCGAAATTTCCTCTCTTTTAGCCCTCCCTCCCCCAGCCAACCCGCCCTCTTGTTGGTTGTAAGAAAACACCCACAGATACAGCTGTATTCAGACGGGACACCCGCACGGGGGCCAGTGTGTGCAAGGGAAAGATGGGTCAGGAGCCAGTGGAATTATACGAATATACAAGAAGAAAGGTTTTCCTTGTCACACACGGAGGGCGATATATAACTCTTTCAACTCTGTAATGTACACAAGATTGAAACCTATTAATAAGAAAGCCTAATGGACTAGGAATGTGTGCCTGACAGAAACTAGCTTTTACAGAGTTTTGAAATGATTCCTAGCTGAGGCAATATGAGCAGCTTATAAGGGAAAAGAGAGGGCGGGTATTAGAATGCCGTGTGTTTCACGTGATAGGATTCATTTACTCACCACTATTTACTGAAGGCCTCCTATGGCCAGGCCCCGGGCTGCGTGCTGCCTGAACATCCCAGATACCCCAGTGGAAAGAAGTGTCCTTGTCTCTCACCCTCTCCCTCCCCGGCTCCAGCCAAACACAGGCACTGAGAGATCTGACTTCCGTACCCACTTCCAAATCCCCAAGACAAAAGACAATGGTGGGTTCACGCGGACGCTTACCCCAGGTCAGAAGCTCGAGGAGAAGCGCCCTGGGGCTCTCCATGGGCTCTGGGAGCGCGGTGGCTGTTCTCGGAGGTGCTCGCGTGTCCCTTCCCGTGGGACGGCTTGCTGGGGGGGGAGGGCTGCCGGGCCATGGTCACACCCATTCAGCAGGCCCTGGCCAGCTCTGGCGCGGCTCCTCGCTTGCCGGTGGCCCTCGCGCTCATCCTCGCCGGGCGCTGGGATACTTCGCGACACCTTGTATCCATGAGAAATCAGAAGGTCTTCTACGCTGTACATAATGCCCCGGCTTCATCAAAGCTCAGCCCCTGGGACTGTGGCGCTGGCAGGACCCACACTGAAGGGACAACAGAGAGCGGGTTTGTGAGGAGTCACGGATGCTCCCGACCCGCGCCCGACACCTCCCGCTGCCTTTACTCCGACCAAACCCAGGGCGCGGTGCCCGCATCGGCCGGGAAGAAGCGAGGATCACTCCGCCTGAAGTTATTCTCCATTACATTCAACCCGAGAGGGTGGCCGTGGATGCGGCACGGACCCCGAGGGACGTGGCGGGAAACCCGGGGGCCCCACCCTCTGCCAGTGGCCTCTGTAGCAGAGTCTGGAACCGTGTTTAGGCAACGAGATGATTAACAGTGTCCACCGTTCCCTCGCCCCCGTCCTCTGAAAACAAGGGGCGAAGCAGCGAGGACAAAATAAACACAGATTCGGAAGCCACAATTACGCCTGGGAGTCTCTAAAAAGAGCAACGACCAGCGCCCGGCTTTACCTTATTACCCTTTGCGCTTCCATCCTGTAACCCTACCTTTGGCTCTCCGAGGGCCGAGCGGGCCCTGTCAGCAGCCGGAGCCCTGACCCAGGAGGGGCCGCGGGGGAAGCCTCTGGACGGCGGCACCACAGCGGGGACCCCACACTTCTCCCCTCCCCCGGGAAATCTGCAAGAATCAGATTTCTCCCCCAAGAAATCTTGGGGCAGCTTTTCCCTCTCTGAGCCTGGGGTGGCCACATCCCAGACCCCAGCAGGGTATACGACTTCAACAGCGCCTCCTTCCCTGGGGGCCGCCATCCTAAGGCCCCAGCACCTGCCGAGAACAAAAGGAAGGGACTTGAGAGCCCATGTGTAAAAACAGGTGGGGCTGCCATGTTTATTTTTACACAAGGGAATCTTCTTTCCTGTGTCTTCCGGTGGTTCTGGGACGGGCCGCGCCTGGAAGAGCTGCAGGAGGAGGCCAGCAGCAGCCCCGCTTGGCCGGGGGACGGAAAGCGCGCTGGCAGCCCCCACGAACAATGGCCGGGAAATGCCTGTGGGCCACGTGCAGGTGAAAGGGAGACACATGTGCTTCCTGCCCGTGCCAATCCCGACTGGGGCCCGCCGCGCCATTCTGCTGACTGGGCGCGACCCTGCTCTTCATCACGTGCTAGATGACGGGGGAGGGGGGCCCCCCAAAGTCCCGGCCATCAGCACAGAGAGAGCATCAGACTTTGGAAGTAGTAATTTCCCATTAGGTCCCTACATTTCATGGAAGGCTGATGAGCTCTGACAGTTACTGTACTGGTGGAAAAGTCTCCAGAGCAATTCTGCCCCTCCTGACGCCCCTGCTATGGGTCTTACGGGGGGTTCTACCACTTGGGTGGTTCACGTAGAGATGGAAGGACCAGAGCCGTGAGAATTTGTTCTTTGATTCAACAGAGCAAGTCACTGGACTAGAGTCTGCAGGGGAAAGTGATCCTACTACAAGCACATGACTATGGGAACAAAGAGGCCCGGCCACCAGGCCAGGGTGCTCGTTTTGTTCAGTGTTACCCTCACCCCCAGCATCTAGCACATAGTAGGCTCTCATAGATAACTGTTGAATGAATGCACAAATACAAGAAAGGGACATCTGAGCTAGGTTTGGAAGAATGATTAGGAGTTCACTAGCTCAAATGCATGTGTGTGTGTATGAGAGAGGGAATATAGATTTGGGGTACAATTATCTCAGAAGTAAAGAAATGACATGGCAACAAAATCCTGGTAGCCTAGACCAGGGAGGGTCCCCACACTAACTGGCTCAATGTCCCACATCCAGCGCGCACCCCAGTTAACACTGGAAGTTAGGTCTTACTACACTCAGTTTCTCTCTCGTACTAGGTCAGGCTCTTTAAAAGCCGAGTGTGCTATCCTCCAAGTGGCCATGCAGCACTCAGAGGAGAGGGCCGTGTCCACCACAGAGCCAGCAGGGCTGCAGTCCACTGCCAGTGTGGGAGAAGCATGCATGTGGGGCATTTTCCTCCTGGGGGAGGAGTTGGTCCAGTTGGTCTAGCATGGCCATGTGGGCAGGGTAATTCTATCTCGCAAACCCTCGAGTGGCATGACAACCCAGGCCAAGCCATCTTCCAAAAAAGATTCAAAGTCTAAGAGCCATAACTTGACTTTACAGGTCTGAGGTCAAAAGTGTACTGATTACTGGAAACGTCTAACTTGTTCTATCTCACGGAGGCCAGTTTCCCGTGGGGAGCAGGAGCACGAAGCACACCAGCTCCAGCACTCCTGGAGCCGTGCAGGTGAGCCAAAATGAGAGGGGATGACCCGCAGGCCCCACAACCCAAACGAGTGTTCCCAGCCGCCATCCCATCCATGAGGGCTTCTCTCCCTTCGGCTGACACTCTGCACCCTCACATCCCAACTCAGACCCGGGGTTTCTCCTCGTTTGCACAGCCCTGCTGAACATCACTGCTCCCCTGAAACCGACATGGTTTTTTCTGATCACTCTCAGATTCAGCTTACTTTCTTTAGCATCCTTAGCTATTTAAGACTTAAGGGGCTGCCTCAAGTGGTAGCAAGCGCCCCATCACGGACACATCGATCCCAGCGGCCACCAGAAGACGCTGACGTGCTGAGGAGACAGGCCTCCAGCGAACTGCTGGACAAAAAGCTGTCCCTTTTAAAGCTTCTTTCTGATCCTGAGATACCAGCATTCCAAATCAACAGTATTTAATTTGATTACCCACCCACCAACTCAAAGCGTTGCTGTAAAGACAAACAGCGAAATCCGACATAAATGTAAGTTTTTAGAACATTAGATTGAACAACTTGGAAAGTTATGTGTACAGTTAAAATAGTGCCGTATCAAGTGTGATGCTGACACCCGCCCCAGCCGTGACCCCTGGACTAAGTGACTAACTGCACCAAACTGCAGTCTTCTGGTCTGCAAAATGGCAATGCTCCTCTCTTCCCATCCTACCAGACTGTTTTGAGGACCAAATAAGAATGTGTAAAAGTGTAAATCACCACGTAAACACAAGATGGTGGATTTAGCATGCTACAATGGCCCTAGTTTGTCTCTGTAGTGTTACTTGTCTTAATGGAAAGACTTCACATCAGTTATTAATTTTCACTATGAAATTCAGACCATTTCCCAATTCCTCTTGTGTCACTTAGGATGTACTTTTGATTTCCAAGGTCATACCTGCTTTATATCACCCATATATCTTGTTTTTTGTGAATGGATATTTCAATCTCCATCCAAGTCACTGAGAACAGTGTTATTTTATATAGTCCAAAACATTAAGACACAATTCCTGAGGGCCTATAATGCACCAGGCCCTGAAACTATAATGACGAATAAGACACATTCTTTGCCCTTGAGAATCTTACTGTCTTGCTGTACAGACTGCAGGAAAATAGGCGGAAGGGACCCTAACCTGATCTCAAGGGGTCAAGGAAGCTTCTGGAAGATTGCTTCTAGGCCAAACAAATCCTCCACCTCAAGGTAGACCTACACTGTAAGTATGATTTTCCACACAGTTCATTTAAGAAATTTTTTCCTTCACTACTTTTGTTTGTTTCCTTGTATCAAATACTCATAGTGGAACATCTAGGAAGAGTGTTCACAACAGTGCAGGTGTCTAGATACAATCTCAGGTACGGGGCTGACTTCTAGCATGGGCTGGACCAGAACACAACAAGAGACAAATGAAGCCACTTTAAATATCTTTTTCACTGCATGAATATCTAAATACCATTCATACAGAGGAAACACTTAACATAAGAACAAACAGGTTAAAAGGGAAAACACACTTTATTTCATTTTATGCTCCCAGCAAGCTTCTAAGGTAACCATGAATGTCTCCATTTTACAGACAAGAAAACTGAGGCTGAGAGCCTGAGCTTGTAAGTGAAGATCTGAGGTTCAAACCAAGGTCTGTTTAGCTTCAAAGCCCTTGCTACTTGCTACTATTTTAGGCTTGCCCATCTGAAGTTCCTTCCTATTAAACAACAGAAGTTTCCTAATTTACCAAATAATGCATAAAGATAAACAAGAAAAGATGGAAGGCATGGCGGCATTAAAAAGAAAAACTATATTTAAAAGGAAAAAAATGTCCTTTGTTCCCTTGGATTAGGATGGCTCTTCTACAGGATTCTTTCCTTATGCACACCGGGCACACACAGGCCATGCGCACACGCGTATGTACATACGTGTCCACCTGTACATGCATACGTGTACCCACGCACAAGGCCTAATGCCTCGCTTGACTGTGATGGTTTGATGGCAGGGCTAGTATTAATTTTAAGTGCTCAGTAATAGGATTCATTCACAAATAGACCGTCATTGCTTCGTGACCTCGAGCGGACTTCAGATCATTTTTGGTTTCGGGCTCCTACAGAGCTATCATAAAACCTGTTGCGTGACTCTGAGAAGCAGACAAACTACATCCACGATAAATGGGAACGGAACGAGAAACTTTGAGGGAAAAAAAAACCTAAGTTCTAAAAGAAAAATGATTGATACAGAAATAGTTACTCTTATCTACAACATGGATAGGATTTGGACTTCGTGTGAGCAGGCACTGGGAAACCACAGAAGTGTTTGGGCAAATGGGAAAGACTGTCTGACAACCAGTCCGGCAGGAAGGTGGGGGAGAAAAGTGGTTAGAACAAGGACAGACGTGGGGACAAGCAGTTATGAGTCTCTTTTACTGAAACATGCAAGGGTGGTAAACAGAGGGGGATGGGGAAAAAGGAGTAATAAGAGTAATTTTCAAGAAAAGTGCAATGGATTTTAGTCTTGGGCAACTAAGATAATGGTCATTTCATTTAGGAGAAATACAGAAATCATAAATAACTGTTGGTTGAAGAAGATGACAGGTGCTTTGATTTTAATTTAACCAACCTAGCCCCACAAGATTATCTTTCCCCAAATCACTTCCAAATGGATTTTTATCAGATTATTTGTCCCATCCGAAAAACCTGAATGAGACCACTTCAGGTAATTTTATTTTGTGGTGGATTTCTAAGTTCTTTAAATAGTAGCCATGAGTATTTAAGCATAGAGTCGTCCACTCCTTCACTGTAGGGAT